AAAAAAAAAAAAAAAAAACTACATAAATGGGCCGGGCGTGGTGGCTCACGCCTGTAATCCATGCACTTTGGAGGCCAAGGTGGGTGGATCACCTGAGATCGGGAGTTCAAGACCAGCCTGACCAACATGGTGAAACCCCGTCTTAAAAAAAAAAAAAAGAAAGAAACTACACAAATGGACCTAACTGATTAATGAATTTGGTTTGGTTATTTCCTTTTTTTCTTTTTTATTATCCCCACCCCCCGAATTTGGTTATTTTTATCATGCATCTTTCCTCCAAGATCCTTCCACGGACCACAAGCTACAACCCACAGCTGGGAGCTCTACAATTTTTGAACCACTCCTTGTTTAAATTCTTAAATATTGCCGGGCGCAGTGGCTCAAGCCTGTAATCCCAGCACTTTCAGAGGCCAAGGCGGGCGGATCACCAGGTCAAGAGATCGAGACCATCCTGGCCAACATGGTGAAACCCCGTCTCTACTAAAAATACAAAAATTAGCTGGGTGTGGTGGCGTGTGCCTGTAGTCCCAGCTACTTGGGAGGCTGAGGCAGGAGAATTGCTTGAACCCGGGAGGTGGAGGTTGCAGTGAGCCGAGATTGTGCCACTGCACTCCAGCCTGGCGCCTGGCGATAGCGTGAGACTCTGTCTCAAAAAAAATAAATTAATTAATTAAATAAAATAAATTCTTAAGTATTTTCGCAACAATTCCCATAAATTTTTAATAGGAGAAAAGAGAAACTGAGAACCCCATAAACCAAACCAAGTATCTTCCCATTCGAGTCCGCGGCGTTGGGCAGTTGAGCACCAGGAGTTCACCAACTGAGCTACGCGGCCGCCCGACGTATCTTCCCATTCATGACCCGCACCTCGATTCTCCCCTGATGACCCTCCCCTTGTCCCTGGGAGAGACAATCTGGAAGAGACGCGGCGCTGCGGGTGCAGAGCTGTCCAGAGAGGTTCCAGGCCAGGGCACAGTCACTGCCCACCCGCCATCTTTTTGCTGAAGGGGACTGAGGTCTAGCTGGGCAAGGAGAACTGGGGCACAGATTGTGGAGCTGACTAGGGGGAGACCGGAGTTCGCCACAGCCACTTCCTACCGGTTCCAAGGGGCCCCTTCCCCTCCGGGGAAGTCGAACAGGTACTCATACCATTTCTAGGTATCCGGGGGTCCTGACGTCTTAACTGTGGATCTCCAGTACCAGCGGGTGACAAGGCCACAGAGACTGGACCTCTAGTAGCAGAGGAAACAGAACAGCAAAAATGAGACCCAAAACTTCGGCGCCGGCAAGAGACAAAGCCCCGGCCAAATCCTCAAAGCCGCCTTTCCTCTCCTGCTGCTGCCTGATTGGTTCCCAGGGACGCGTCGCTGATTGGATAAGTTTTAAGACCCTGCCCCCTAGGGTCCTGAGTGACAGAAGACATGACCAAATGAAGCTGAATTAAGAAAGAGTGACAATACAACCCCCCACTGCTAAATTTGACTGGCTTCAAAAAAAACAAAAGAAAAGAAAAGAAAGAGTGACAGCTAAAGGTGCAGGCTTTTCAGGCAGGGCTTCCTCCCTGAGCTGAGCCAGGACCACCCCAGAGGGTGTTTGCCCTTAGCCTTGTGTATAAGTTCTTCTGTATTTGTAAATACAATATATGGTTGTTCACACATGAAAATAGTAGAATAACAATTATTTTTAAATTTCAGCTTTTATAATTTTGCTGGCTTCTGGGGGTCCATTGAGCAGGCAGCCTGAGATTTTTGTTTTGTTTAGTTTTGTGTTTTGTTTTTTGGTTTTTTTTTTGTTGCGACAGTCTTGCTCTGTTGCCCAGGTTGGAGTAGGATGGCGCGATCTCGGCTTACTGGAACCTCTGCCTCCCGGGTTCCAGTTATTCTTCTGCGGAGTAGCAGGGATTACAGAAATGGACCATCATGCCCAGCTAATTTTTTTGCATTTTAGTAAAGATGGGGTTTGATGATGTTGCCCGGGCTGGTCTCCAACTCCTGACTGTAAGGTCTGACCTCGCCCCCGTGAACTGCATGGTAATCTCTGTGACCTGCACCTACACCCTAGATGAGTTTCTGAAAGAACGGATCAACCCCTGCGGTGCCTAACTAACTTGAGACATTCTTCTATTTTTTATTCAGGCCTCAACTGACAAGGCCATTAGAATTTGTAACAGACCTTGGCCAACCTCATGAGGCCACACCCTATGACCCCCTCCCAGCTTGCAGAAAACCCACCCTAAACTTAACTTTTGTAATTTTCCACTGCCTCCCCCACAAGCTATAAAACCAACCCCTATCCCACCGCCCTTTGCTGACTTAATTTCCAACCTCAGCCCACCTGCACCCAGGTGTTTAGAATAAACAGCCATGTTGCTCACACAAAGCCTGTTTGGGGGTCTCTTCATTCAGAGCGCGCAAGTTTGCACTGACCTCAGGTAATCCGCCCACCTTGGCCTCCCAAAGTGCTGGGATTACAGACGTGAGTCACCACACCCCGATAACTTGATACTTTATTGTATTTTATTAATGTAATTTTTGAGACGGAGTCTCTGTCGCCCAGGGTGGAGTGCAGTGGTGCTATTGTGGCTCACTGCAACCTCCGCCTCCTGGATTCAAGCAATTCTCTGCCTCAGCCTCCCGAGTAGCTGGGAATACAGGCGGTCACCACCAGGCCCGGCTACTTTTTGTATTTTTAATAGAGATGGGGTTTCACTGGCTTGGCCAGGCTGGTCTCGAACTCCTGACTTTATGATTCACCTGCCTCCGCCTCCCAAAGTCCTGGGATAACATTCGTGAGCCACTACACCTGGCCAACCTGAATTTTTTTTTTTAGACGGAGGCTCACTCTGTCACCCTGGCTGGAGTGCAGTGGCACCATGTCGGCTCACCTCAACTTCCACCTCCTGCGTTCAAGAGACTTTCCTGCCTCAGTCTCCTGAGTGGCTGGGGCTACAGGCGTGCGCCACCATGCCCGGCTAATTATTTTTTTTATTTTTTAGTAGAAACGGAGTTTCATCATATTGGATAGGCTGGTCTCAAACTTCTGACCTCGTGATCCGCCTACCTTGGACTCGCAGTGCTGGGATTACAAGCATGAGCCAGCCCAACCTAAGATTCTTAAAACGACATATCCTTCAAAATAAAATGTGAGCCACATGTAAATTTTAAATTTCCTACTAGCCAAACATTAAAAACAAGAAACACACGAGGCGCACTGGCTCATGCCTGTAATCCCAGCACTTTGGGAGGCTGAGGCAGGCAAGATAATGAGGTTAGGAGATTAAGACCATCCTGGCCACGGTGAAACCCAGTCTCTACTAAAATACAAAAGCTAGCCTAGCGTGGTGGCACATTCCTGTAATCCTAGCTACTCAGGAGGCTGCGGCAAGAGGATTGCTTGAACCCTGGAGGCCAAGGTTGCAGTGAGCGGAGATCCCGCCATTGCACTCCAGTCTAAGCAACAGAATGAGACTCTGTCTCAAAAAAAAGAAAAAGGAAAAAAAAATAATTACATCAGCAGTCTACAATAATTTATTGTAATAACCATAATTATGAGTACTAACATACACTTAGATATATTAGATGTTTGAAATTACTTACAATTTTTAACTATTAATAGTATATTATGTAAATATGAGTTAAGAAGGTTTGGCCGGGCGCAGTGCCTCAAGCCTGTATTCCCAGCACTTTGGGAGGCCAAGGCGAGTGGATCACGAGGTCAAGAGATCGAGACCATCCTGGTCAACACGGTGAAACCCCGTCTGTACTAAAAATACAAAAAATTAGCTGGGCATGCTGGTGCGTGCCTATAATCCCAGCTACTCAGGAGGCTGAGGCAGGAGAATTGCCTGAACCCAGGAGGCAGAGGTTGCGGTGAGCTGAGATCGCGCCATTGCACTCTAGCCTGGGTAACATGAGTGAAACTCCATCTCAAAAAAAAAAAAAAGATGAAGGTCCAACAGTGCCGGGTGCAGTGGCTCACGCCTGTAATCCTAGCACTTTGGGAGGCCGAGGTGGGTGGAGCACCTGAGGTCAGGAGTTCATGACAAGCCTGGCCATCATGGTGAAACCCCATCTTTAAAAAAAAAAAAAGAAGGTCCAACATTATTTTATTGCATTATTATTTACTTTTTTTTGAGATGGAGTCTAACTCTGTTGCCCAAGTTTGAGTGCAGTGGCACTGCTATAGTGAACCCCAAGTTTGTCTTCAAAGAAACAGTATGTCAGTATGTTCAGCTCTCTTATTCTTTAAATCTCTATTTTAAAGCTTAACTTCCAGTAAACAACCTTCTCCACTGGTTCATGAGTAGTTCACATCTGTTCCCCCAGCCCCCCACTCCATCCTGACTCATCCCACTCACCTGATAACCCCTAGCTACTTTATGTGACACCCCCTTAAATCGTTCTTCCCACCAAAACACCCACTCTGCTACTCCAGCTTGGACCCTTGCTCTTTTTAAAATAGTCAATCGGGATTAGTCTAGCTTGTGCAGTCTAACCCTAGCCAATATGGGACGACACAGGACACAGCAGCAGGGACGACCCCCCGTCAGGCATAAGTACCCCGTCCCACCTTGTCCAAATGTGTGGCAGTTATCATTGCTCTGTCCTTGTGCACTGCACCCTCTTATAGAAATAAACTGCCTTGCTGAGAGGACATATCTTTGAGTGCTATTTTCTTTGTGGCATCAAAATTTTACTTATAACAGCACAATCTCGGCTAACTACAACCTTTGCCTCCCTGGTTCAAGTGATTCTCCTGCCTCAGCTTCCCAAGTAGCTGGGACTACAGGCACACACAAACACACCTGGTTATTTATTTATTTATTTTTTTTTCTGGTAGATACAGGGTATCGCCACGTTGGTCAGGCTAGTCTTGGACTCCTTACCACAAGCGATCTGCCTGCTTTGGCCTCCCAAATTGCAATGATAATAGGCATGAGTCACCACACCTGACCCAAACATCATTTTTAATTTGACAATGCTTCCCATCTAATTCAACGTATCAAATACATTTATTTCTTATACATTTAGATGCCGCATTGTCCCTCTGTGGCATCCAAAACTTAGGGGTCAAAAACAAAAGACAACTTATTTTTTTTGAAACAGACTCTCACTCTGTCTCCCAGGCAGGGGGTGCAGTGGTGCAATTTCAGCTCACTGCAGCCTCCACCTCCTGAGCTCAAGCGATTCTCCTTCCTCAGCCTCCCAAGTAGCTGGGAGTACAGGCGCCCATCACCAACCCCCGCTGATTTTTGTATTTTTAGTAGTGACAAGGTTTCACATGTTGGCCAGGCTGGTTTTAAACTCCTGACCTTAAATAATCTGCCCAACTTGACTTCCCAAAGTGCTGGGATTACAGGTATGAACCACTGTGCCCGGCCTTTTTTTTTTTTGATATAGACTCTCCCTGTTTTGCACATGCTGGAGTGTGGTTGAACAGTCTCAGCTCACTACAAACACTGTTCACTGCCTGGATTCAAGTGATTCTCCTGCCTCATCCTCCTGAGTAGCTGGGACTACAGGTGTCTGCCTCCACACCTCGCTAATTTTTTGTAGTTTTAGTAGAGATGGGTTTTCACTATGTTGGCCAGGCTGGTCTTGAACTTCTCACCTTGTGATCCGCCTGCCTCAGCCTCCCAAAGTTCTGGGATTACAGGTGTAAACCACATCATGCAACAAAAGAAGACAATTTTTAAGGTGAAATTTGATATCGGGAAGTCTGTCAAATATGTCAAAGGGTTAAAAATACTTTTTGGACCAGGCATGATGGCTCACCCCTGTAATCCCAGCACTTTGGGAGGCCAAGGCGGGCAGATAACGAGTTCAGAAGATCAAGGCCATCCTGGCTAACATGGTGAAAGCCTGTCTCTATTAAAAACACAAAAAATTAGCCAGGCATGGTGGTGGGCACCTTTAGTCCCAGCTACTTGGGAGGCTAAGGCAGGAGAATCACTTGAACCCAAAAGGCAGAGGTTGCAGTGAGTCGAGATCACACCACTGCACTCCAGCCTGGGTGACAGAGTAAGACTCTGTCTCAAAAAAATAAATAAATAAAAACTTTTTGACAGCCAGGCATGGTGACTCATGCCTGTAATCCTAGCAATTTGGGAGGCTGAGGTGGTCAGATTACCTGAGTGGTAGGGACAAGCTGTGAAGGCTGGACCCCTTCACCCCTCTGATTGCTCTGCAACTGCACTCCTGAACCTCTACCTAGGAACCACACCAAGGCTGCCAGATGGGTGGCAATTATGCAAAGCCTGATTACAGCCATCTGGGCAGCTCAGGGGAGAACAGGGAAAACATGTGTTGGTTATCCATACTTGT